CTCTCTCTCTCTCTCTCTCTCTCTCTCTCTCTCTCTTTCTCTCTGATGTAGAAAGAGAAAGAGGAGTAAGAACAGAAGACTGGTGCAAAGCAAAAGTAAGCTTACTTACAAAAGGAAGTGATACAAAGCCTCTCTGAGGGATGGGGGGGCCAGAGCTATGTCACTGCTGAATCTGACACTGCAGTCCTGTTCCATGGGGCAGGAGCCCAGTCCTCACATCCCAAGAGTAACTACTTGATTGGTCATTGGATTTGTTGTTAGGGGGCTAGGTTTGGTGGGCTAAGAGGGGAACTTGGGTAGGCATGGCAACCTGCACTGAGGGACAGCGTCGCCTGCACAGAGGCAGGCATCAAAACCACAGGCAGTCAGCACAGCTGCTCACTGTGATGCAAAGGCTATTTCTTTTCTTAAAAAGGCCTGGCTCCCTGATCTAACCCTACCTAAGGGGCCAGGCAGAGGGACAAGAGGCTTGAGGTTGAAGTCACACCATGGGCCTGGCACCACAACAGGTCATATTATAAAACCCTCTGACCTCAAGGAGCTCATCACAGGCTGAAGCTGGGTAGCTGTTGGGTTTCCTTTCAGTGTATTACCCTCGGTGTATAAAGTCTCCTATGGAATCTTGGGCCATGACCTGTAAGAGATTGAGATGTCCAGTCAGATTTCTAAAACTACCGTCTTCTTACTTCTCACCCCAAGCCCATCTGCAGGGAACCAAGCAGGAATCTGGGGGGTGACGGGAAAAGAAGCTCATCTGTGCAGCCCTCCCCACACTGCCAAGGCTCTCGGGAGAGGAGCTGGGCTGCAAGAGTGAGGCACGGCCCCTCTCTCCTGAAGCACAAGTGGTTTGCAATAGTGGGCCTGGCCTCTCTGCCTCCGTTCTCTCTGGAGGGGGTGGAACTGTAGGCCTCACAGGGAAGGTGGCTGATGCCTTCAGCCAACCCAAGGAACTTCTGAAGGAACCAGTGCCCAGCCTCACCCACTGGGCTGGTTCCACCCAAGAGCCAGAAATGCAGGGCCAGGCAGAGCAAGCCATGCTCTCAGCTCAGCCTCACCTTTGCTCTTGCCCAGGTGTAGGGCCCCGTTCCTGACTGAGGGAGGAATTGTGACAATAAAAGCAAGCCTTGGGTGCTGGGCAGGTTCTGTACGGGAAGAAAGTGAGTCTGCACACCTGCATTCCTCTGAAACTCCTGATGTAGCAGAAATGTAATTTTGGCCACTTTGAGATTTGTCTCCCCTATTTTATGTGGGTCTCAGGATGCAGGAGCTGCCTAGGTCACTCTGGGGCACACAGAACCATGAGGCAGCACCAGCATCAGGATCCCTGGCCCCTGGTCAGCCTAGATGTCCTGTAGCTCCCCTGGTCCCTGTCCACACTGGGCCCTGGGCTGGGATGGCTGCGGGCACAGGGCCCTTGCACAGTGGGCGGGAGCCAAGGAAATGTGGAAATCAGAGCGAAAATACAAAAGGGCTGGAGATGGAACTCATCAAGAAGGCACTGTGCAATCTCCAGTAGCACAAAAATTTAAAAAGAAGGGACAGATGGGGCTGGCATGGAAAGTTCTGGGGAACTGCTGCTGGGTTCCTCAGGGGAGTTGGTGCCACATGCCCTGGGTTTCTAGGGGGTCAGGTAAGGCTCAAGGGAGCAAGCAGGGCAGTGTGTGGAGGGTCCTGAGTCCTGCCTAGCTCTAGTCAGGCCCAGAAGAATGTCCTGCTAAACAAAGCATCATGC